AATGGAGAAAAAAATTCACGTCAAACAAAGAGAACTTGATTACAACTTAAAAAACAGTACAGTAAGTAAAGGAGAAATCAATAAATGAATGGTTAATTACTTGGTATGTGATTTATAAGAAACTTCATATTAAGAAATACGGAGTACAATCTTTTAACGCTTCTTTGATGTAGCTCATCTAAGACTCAAAAATTAATAGTTACATTGGTATTCTATCAAAGGCTTGGATGGTGTAAAAAATGATTAGACTGATCCGTGTACATATCAGGGAGGGATATGATCCATTTTTGCTAGGTAGTAAGCTAAAAGCCTTTTGGAACATTTAACCTTAGTTTGACTTCCATGTCCCCATAACCTTCAATGTACTAAAAGAATTAACTTAGTGTACAAATCTCATTTTTGTTGAAGAATCAACCCCGAAGGATGCAATCTAAGAAACTGCTAATCATATTTTCTATCCTAAGCTGGAGTAAACAATAGTTGCTCAAGATTTGCATATTGTATTTTCATAAATGAACAGTGGAAATCATAACCTATTCATTTCCAACTAAGAAAATCCTAGTGCAGGGGTAACCCAGCCAAGATGGCTAAAGATACAAACTTGTAACCACAAGATCACAAGTTCGAATCACAACCCTCTTAATTTGAGCCGGTCAGCTACGAGTAACCTAGGTTGACTTACTTCCTAATGATCCTTTGTAGGCTAGGGTCACAAGATGGGATTTACCCGTAAGATAATGGTAATAAGACAAATTGATTAAAATGTCAAAAGCCTAAAACTAGTAATAAGACAATGGAATGTGACATCACCTAAGAAATATAAAAACTTAATGCGGAGGTTACGTGACATTCCCTGAGAAAATTACATAACTTAATCAAACAGGGAATCTTATATTCCCAAGCAAATATAACCTTAATTATCTTATATAACTTGAATCAAACACCCCCTAAATAAAATCCACCAGTATACATTATTGGAACATGGCTGCAGCTAGCAGGGTTGAAACATCACATTTCATACAAGCATTAGAAATATTAATAATCATCATCATCATCTTTTGGCATTTATTTTGAAGCTCATATATGCTTGACTCAAATAATTAAGCATAAAAAGGTTAATTAAAAGCACACAGTTTCCTAATTTTAAGGAAGAATATAGCAGAGAAAGGGTGGTATTAGCGTGACTTACTCGGTGGAAATGGGGTAGCAGTGGCAGGGAACAGAAGAGGTTTTGAAAAAGTGGGAGTGGATTGGTGGAGAAGGGGAGCTGGGGTATCAAGGTAGTATGAGAGGCTAAACCTCACAGTCACATATTGTCCAAAGGGAAAAATTTATATAGAAAAGGAAGATCGGGTGGACCTGCAAAATGTCATTGGCTTTTCCACAGTAGATAGGGGTGTGTTTTGAGTGGATGAAATTTGCTTTTATTATCAACGCCAAGACTTCAACTCATTATACTATTATCAATCTAAAACCCTTGATTGAATCGATCAAGATTTATTTATTCCGTTCAAAGTTTGATTTTTACTATTAAAAAATTGTTTAATAAGTGATTTATAAATTTTAATAGTAACTAAGACTTTATGGTTTTATGGCACCAAAGTTACACTTTCATATGAAAGGTTGTGGGATCAAGTCTCAGAGGAACTTTATGTCCAAAGTTACGCATTTTGCATTTTGTTTCTTTATACATTTTTTAGAGGCAGGGTGCTGGACTTGGTTCTTTATTAACCCCCATCCAACAATCCCTTTAACTATCGGCCTCCGCCCAATACAAAGTATTTTTTTAAAAATAAATTTTTATTGCATTTTTTTTTAACTCCGTTCTAATTTTAGACGATACATAGAAATAAAACTATAGTATCATTAATGTATGAGTTTTCTGTCTATTTATATGGCAGGAATGTATGTTCCTGTCATGAAATAGAGACAAGAAAGTAATTACATATTGATGATTTTATAGCTAAAATGTCAATAGCATTTAGTGCTTGCTTATCTATAGTTTATTTGAGAAGAGACAATTAGGCTCTTTGTACGAGTATTTTAAATGTCTGAATAAAGTATCAGCATTGGTTGGTTTGGACTTTTCTTTTGTTTGAAGTGATTAAATTATCAATTCACAACATGGGTTTTAACGAATAAATGACCTTGGGTTGTAAAAGAGGTGCAGCTAATTAAATAATGCATAATGATGTTGATGTTGAATCTAATATAATATAAGCAGAAAAGAAAAAAAATTGTGGGCAAGTATGGTTGTTGGAGACACTGACACCTGATCTTTCTTACTGTTTTCATTTTCTATATGGGGACGATGGGATAAGATGAAGCATTAATTGAGCTTCAAATCATTAAGTAGTGGTGACTAAAACAATTCAAATGACTAAATACTTGAAGATTAGTAATTGATTTGATTGACATTTCCCATTATTGATGGGAAATGACACTTTTTCTCCCTGTATTATATATTTATAGTACTTTTCACCTCTAAATTATTTAAGTGGCAATTCTTCCATTGATATGTTAAATGGATATATTTACGTTTAAAATAAATATTTTATTTATTTTTCTTCTCCAACAAATTATAACAACGATTTGGTTCAAACCGAAAGACACTATAGTAACCAAACAGAAAGGTTATGATGACAATTTGGAATCTGAACCCGATATTTAAAGTTTATTAAAATCGCGAACCGAAACTGCCAGTTCATGTTCTTAATTGAAAAAATAAAATACATTAGTTGTTGAATTTATAATATTTAAAAAAAAATTAAAAGAAATTAAAGTTTGAACCAACAGTTGAAATTGAATATGAAACTATGAATTGACGGTTCAAAATCAAAACAAAATCGCGTTTATATATACTTATATGTGAAAGTCAGAATAAATGTCAAAAAAAAAAAAAAAAACATACACTATTTGCAAATATTACAAATTCTAATTTTAAGCTAATGCTAGTAGTTGTTCCGATTTGAACCTCTGGTTCACGGTTCAGGATCCATCTTTTTCGGTTCACGATTTTAATAAACGAAAACCTGATAGACATATTTTACACTCATATTTTAGGTACATCTTTATAATATTTTTACATTATTTATTTAGTATTATTTAATAATTATTTCATTTTAGAGTTTAACAATTAATTACTTAAATAAGTGTTTTCTAATAATGTTTTAGCTAATAATTTTTTTGAGTCAATTCTAATCCTAATCATATTGGCCCAAACCGCCCAATGCTTAGCACAAAAAGACAAATTAAATTTAACATTATATTTATGTTGATTCTTTTTTTTTTTTTTAAACCAACAGACAGAATATCATTAATAGCTCACAAGAGCAGCAATACAAGAGGGGGGGGGGGGGGGGGTTGGAAAACCACGACCCCAGTACAGACGAGGAACCAGTTGCCTGTGAGAACATGAGCCACGTGATTCGCTGACCTCTTGACATAGCGAACCTTCACATTCTCAATGTCACTAGCAATTTAATTACATTGCTCCACAATCAAACCAATATAAGAAAAATCTAACAAACGGGAGTTAAAAGCGGTAGAAAAATTTAAACAATCCGTCTCTACTATTACATTATTCAAATTCAAGCTCTTTAACCATCCTAACGCTCGTACGACCGCGATTGCCTCAGCCATCAACGGATCGCTTGTACAGCCGAGCCTTCCACTTTGCGCTGCTATGAAACGCCCTTCGTGACTGCGGACCATCGCGCCAAAGCCCGCACCGTCCTCAAACAGAGCCGCATCTACATTACACTTGACCCAAGGGTGTGGCGGGGGAGTTTTGCGTCCTGATTTCCAGATATTATGTAAAGCGTGTACCTGGTTGATTAAGGCTACTAGAGATTTCATATCCTCTTTCCGCACTTTGTCGTTTCGAGCACTCCATAGGACCCAAAGGATAGCTGCTAGGCGTATCGCTTGGCTCAAATCTCCATCACTGAGCACCGCATCCATGAAGATTTGTAAGCTTCGCCCGTTGAGCACATCTTCCGCCCCCAGACCTGCCTCGCCATAGCACATTCACAGAGCAGGTGTTCCATCATTTCCGACGGCCAGTTGCATAATGGGCAACCTCCACCAATCCACACTCGTCGCAGCCTTAAAGTTTCCTTAAGAGGTAGGATACCACGGGCACACCGCCAAAGTAGGTTCTTCACCTTAGGCGGCACTGGAAGGTTCCATAATCTCCGCCATGCAGTGAATTCGCCAACACCGCCATCAGTTATGACAAACTCCATCAACAACTGGTAGCCATGTCGAACCGTGTAGACCCCACGAGCGTCGCCCAGCAATCTCCAGGAGTCCGGCAGAACAGGGGATAGAGGAGTGGCTAAGATTCTAGCCACATCATTATCTAGAAACAATTCTCGCACTATCTTAGTATCCCACTCGCCTTGCTTTGTTAACAGACCAGCAACCCTGGCCTCCTTCAGTTGGTCGATGAACGGAGTGGACAGAGACGGGGACGTCGGATCAGCCAGCCACGGCCAACCCCAGATCCTGGTCTCTCTACCATCACCAATCCGGTGGGCAGCTCCCAGTTTTAAAAGTGATTGCCCCGCCATAATATTTCGCCAGAGGTAGCTCAGATTGCCCCTCAAATGTGCTTTGAGAAAATCGATGTGCGGATAGTATTTGGCTTTCATTAATCTGCTCGCCAAGGAATCTGGGTGTATCATTAGACGCCACCCTTGCTTCGCCTGGAGAGCCATATTAAACTCGTGTAGTCGCTTGAACCTGATGCCCCCTAACATCTTCGGAGCACATAACCGGCTCCAACTTAACCAGTGAATTCCATGGCTGTCCGATCCACCGCCTCCCCACCAATATCGATTAAAAAAATTTTCAATAGTAAAACAGACATGCTCAGGTAGTAGGAAGACAGACATGGTAAATATAGGCAAAGCCTACGCAATACACTTAAGTAATACTTATTTTCCGGCCCTTGACAGCAGTTTCTGCTGCCAACCTCCAATTCGCTCCCGTGCCTTCTATTCAATAAAACGGAAAGTAGCTGACTTATTGCGGCCCAGAGCTGATGGTAGTCCCAAATAACGGCCAAAGTCGGTAGTTTCACGCACCCCTACACATTCTGTCACTAAGGCCCTTGTAGTTGGATCGGTGTTCGAACTGAACATGGCACTAGACTTCTCGTAATTTATGACCTGTCCCGATGTGGCACTGTAAATCTCTAAGCAATCTTTCACCCTTTGTGCTTCAAACTGAGTGGCTCTAAAGAACATTAAGCTGTCGTTCGCGAAAAAGAGATGCGAAACCGAAGGGGCCGCCCTCGTAATCCTAATCCCATGGATATCACCTCGGGCCCCAGCCTGTTACAATAGCACAGACAGACCTTTAGCACAGAGGATAAACAAGTAGGGGGATAATGGATCTCTTTGTCTGATGCCTCGAGTAGGAAAAACTGTTCCCACTACTTACCTATTGATCTGAACATTGTAATTCACAGATGTAACACACATCATGAGTAGTAAGATCCACGCCCGGTCAAAACCGAACGCCACTAACATCCCCTCCAAAAAGCCCCATTCCATCCGGTCATACGCCTTGGCCATATCGAGTTTCAAAGCAGTCCAACCCAAAGCCCCGCACATCTTCCTTCGTAACTAGTGACCCACCTCCCCGGCAACAATGATATTGTCTGTTAACAGTCTGTCGGGAACAAACGTGCTTTGCATCGCTGAAACAACACTCTAGAGAGTCTCCTTCAGCCGGTTAGCCAACATTTTGGCAAGCACTTTGTACACCACGTTGCATAGGGCAATCAGGCGTAAATCAGACACCATCTCCGGGTTCTTCTTCTTTGGGATCAGCACAATGGTGGAGTCGTTGATACCATGTGGAAGTCTACGACTGGTGATGCTTTGCAAAATGAACATGGACAGATCGTGACCTACTATAGGCCAGTAATGCTGATAAAAACCTGGTGACATACCATCTGGTCCCGGAGCTTTCTCCAGGGCCATCGAGAAGTGTGCTGCTTTGACCTCGGTCATTGTGCATGGTAGAGACAAGGCAGTATTCATCTCGGTTGTAACCCGACTTGTCACCCTATCAAAGATAGCCGGCGTAGTTGTAACACCCCGTGTTACGGCCTCTAAACCAATTAATTAATTAACCATTTACCCAAAAGAAAGAATTAAAATTCATTAATTAATTAGGAAGAGTCCACCATAGTCCATGGATCCTTATCCCTAATACAAAACCCTTAGTCCTATAAGGAATAGAATTGGCAAGCCCATACCATTTAGACCCTAATTAGGACTCTTAGATATATAAATAGGGGCATAGGAGGCACCTAGAACCCACACCACAATAACTTTCACCACCCAAGAATTCCCAAGAATTCCCATAGGAGGAATCAAGAAAGAAGAAATCTTAAAGAAAGACCCTTCATTGCCAAGGAATTTAATTAAGGCTAAGAGGTAACCCACGTCTCAACAAAACCTATTTTCCTTGCAATATTCTTCTTCTTTGGCTCCTTATTCTATGCTTGTGTCTTGATGAAATCTTTTATGATAATTGTGATATGATCTTAATAATTGATGAGATGATTTTATGTGTGATCTTGATAATCTTGATGATGATAAGAGGATCTTGATGATTGTGTGATATTCTTGATAAACTATGATCTTGTTGATTTAAATATGATTAGAGCCCTAGGTTGAATCATGAATTTCGTATTGGGATTTTCTTGGTATATTTGGGTGGGAATTCACATGTTCGGGTGTTAATTATGTTTAGGAGTCATGATAGGTCATGTTCTATGTGATTGTTGATTTTAATCCGTTAATTGCTTATGTGGTGTCGATATTTGTGTTTAAAAATGTCTAAGCATGGTTTTGGGTTCCACAAAGGATCTCGGGACGTTTAATTTGATAAAGAGTCAGTGGGGGGTAGGTGGGGGTAGGGGGACCCGCCACCTACCCGCTGCCCAAGAAACACCGCCAGGCAGCGGGCAGACGTCTGCCCGCCGGGCACCCGCTGCCCTGAAGTTCGCTGCCGGCGGGTGGCCCTCCACCCACCGGCTACCCGCTGGTCGTCGCCCACTTCGGGACTTTGGCTTCCCCATTTGATGTTCCCTATTCCCTGTGGTGTCCTAACGGACCTTGTTTGTCGTGCTTGAGTCTAGTTTGGTGTTTCGGGTACCATTCGTAGGTTAGAAGAGTCTCAGGTATTGCATGCTAGTTGAATCAGTAACCTGTTGGCCTAGGAGGAAGATGCTTGAACCCCTTAGGACTATTCTTAGTATGTAAATGATCACACGTAAGTTTATTTATACGTCACCCCCATCCCAATGTGCTAATACGTGCTACTATGTGTTATGTGATGCATGATTCCCCAATTTGATTGCGATCAAATTGGGTGTTCCTGAGCTGCGGTTCAGAAGTTGGCTGCGGTCAAATTGGTTACTTATGAGCTGCGGTTCATTTTCCTGGCTGCGGTCAGTCATTCACTTCTTGGGCTGCGGTTAACATGGGCCTCGTGTGCTGTGGTCCACCGACTGGATGCGCCAGGCGGTGTGTAGGGCCATTAGCCCAAGGAAGGCTGTAGCCCACCGAATGAGTGATCAGGCGGTGTGTAGGGCTACGCTTGGCTGCGATCCACCGAGTGTATGGGCCAGCGGTGTGTAGGGTCGTAGTCTCTGAAGATCATCGCCCACCGAATGAGTTCCTCAGGCGGTGTGTAGGGCTGGATCTGCTACAACCCACCGACTGAGTTCGTCAAGCGATGTGTAGGGTCGCAGTCCCCCCATTGTAAAGAGGGTTACAGTCCACCGACTGAGCGCGTCAGCGTTGTGTAGGGCTGTGATCCACCGTCGAGTTCGTCGACGGTCTATACGGTTGGTTGCGATTAACCCCTTCATGATGCGGTATGAGGTAGGGTGCTGCGGGGCCGTGTTAGCACTATATGTACTAACCCTCATGTTCGGGGCATGCGATTGGTCTCGTGGCGCCACCAAAGTATGCTTATGTGACTTGTATGATGATGTGAATGATTTGAAAGTGATCTGTGACCCCTTAGATACATGTTCTTTATGATATTGTCTCTATATAACTGTCTATCATTGTTTAAATGTGTTTATCCCTACCTGTCGAGTCTATTCCTGGTTTTAAAGCTAGAGTCTCCTAAGTATATATCTTCCTACTTCGAAATGGTTTTCATATATATATATATATATATATATATATATATATATATATATATATATATATATATATATATATATATATCTACCTATATTGTATTTCAACGCGTTGGAGTGGGTTACCAGCATCATTCGCTGAACAGATATATTTGGCTTTCAGGCACAGATGAGTAGACCCCGGAGCGCGCTAGAGATCCGAAGCGTAGATTATTTAGTTTTCCTTTCAGCCTGTGTGCCATGATTATGTATTGACATTGCTTTGAGGATATTTAGTCAGTTTAGCCTGTGCATCTGAGTTCTCCAGCTCAGGTGTGGCATAGCACCCCACACTCTTATGTTTAGTTTTGGGATTTAACAAGAATTTACCTTTATTATATAAAGTTTTAAAAGTTTCAAAATTTCGGATTGTTACAGTTGGTATCAGAGCCTAAGTTTGACCCTAGGATAAGACTCTTAAGACCGAATTTTAGGACACTAGGCTTAAACTCTAGGAGTTCATGAATATAGGGTTGAGGGATCATAGGACGCGTGGTGAGATTGTGAGATCCCTAAACTTTCCCTCACCCTAATTCGCACTTAATCTAAAAGAATTTCCCCTACACCCATAGCATCAAGGTAAGGATGCAAAATAATATCGGCCTGTGAACCCCCAGGATGGCACCAACAAGGAAACAGGCAAAAGCACCGGGACTCCCCACACATGAATCCTTGATTCAAAATCTGCAACATCTGGCCCAAGTTGCACAAACATTAAGCAACACGGTCCTTCAACCGTCACCACCAAACAGAAACTTGGAAATCCACCACCAAATCTCGGAACACCAACCGCCTACCTTCTCAGGGGATGAAAACCCCACAATTCTCGAAGAATGGATTGGAAACTTTGAGAAGATATTTAGAACAACAAGATGCCCTGAAAACCACCAAGTAGAAACAGCCTCCTTCTACTTCAGGCACGAAGCCGACATCTGGTGGGTCCACGAGAGACCCAATTGCGAACGAAGCCCGGGATTCAACCGGGAGACCCTAAAAACACGATTACGAGAACGATTTTACCCCAGTCACATGAAAACAACCATATACGAAGAATTCCTCCATCTAAAACAAGGAGCAACCCCAATCACAGAATACTACCGGCAGTTCCTCAAGCTAGCTCGCCTCACACCCGAATTGGCGCCTACAGAGTCAATCAAAATCGAGAGATTTATAACGGGCCTCAACCTTGAGAACCAGAAGGCCCTAATCATACGGAAACCGAGAACTCTTGAAGAAGCCTATGCCAATGCATCCCAACTACAACAAATACCGAGCAAGCCACAGGAAACACACCTGGGACACAAAAGAAAAATCGAAGGAAACCACGCAAACCCCCTCCGGGAACCAAAAACCGCCAGGACCACCTCACCCCACAAAGCCATAACAACAGCCCCCATAAGGAAAGTGGGAAACACTCAAGGAAGAGTCCTTACCATAAGCAAAGCCAAAATCGGAGATAGCAACACCTACAAGTCAAGGTGGCATCAGGCGAAATCATAAAATGTGACCGTATGTACAAGGATGTAATGATCACCATCGGAGGAGTGGAATTCCCTAGCAACCTAATACAATTCAGACTAGATGAGATACAAGTGATCTTGGGTATGGACTGGCTAGGGAAATTCCAAACACAAATCCTATGCGGCGAACAAAAACTGGTCTTACGGGGACCAAACGGCAAACGGGTATCCTACCACGGAACCCACAAGAACCCGGAAGTCAAATTAGTAAACATGATGAAAATGAAGAGATATCTAACCAAAGGGCACGAAGCCTTCCTATGCTCAGTCAAAGATCTCGACGCCAAAATAGCAGAGCCCCAGACCATTCCAGTGGTGAACGAATTCACCGACGTCTTCCCAGACGAGATCCCCGGGGCACCCCCAACCAGAGAGGTCGAATTCACCATAGATTTGATGCCTGGCACTGCCCCAATCTCGAAGCCACCCTACAGACTGGCGCCAAAAGAAATGAAGGAACTAAAAGCACAACTTCAAGAGTTACTAAATAAAGGATACATACGCCCCAGCACCTCACCATGGGGAGCACCAGTGCTATTCGTCAAGAAGAAGGATGGGAGCATGCGTCTATGCATCGACTACAGAGAACTAAATCAAGTTACAATAAAGAATAAGTATCCTCTTCCGCGAATTGATGACTTGTTCGACCAATTTAAAGGAACAGGGGTGTTCTCAAAAATTGATTTAAGATCTGGGTACCATCAGATAAAAGTGGCCGACCAAGATATCCAGAAAACGGCCTTTCGAACCCGCTACGGCCACTACGAATTCACGGTAATGCCCTTCGGACTCACCAATGCACCCGCTATATTCATGGACCTCATGAACCGAGTATTCCGGCCCCACCTAGATGACTTCGTCATCGTGTTCATCGACGACATCCTAGTCT